GTGTGTGTGTGTGTGTGTGTGTGTGTGTGTGTGTGTGTGTGTGTGTGTGTGTGTGTGAGAGATCTGCTCTGCACTTGCATTTCAATAACCAGAATGTTATTTTTGCCCAATGGAAAAAAAAGGTGAAGACAGGCAATCATGTCTTTGCATGTTGTCCGTTTGTTAGCAAAATATCTCATGAATCTTATGGGACAGATAATTTAATTTTCAGGAAGCATCTATGACTGATTTATCTCTTAAAACCTGGTTCACACAGATAGATTTGAAAACTGTCGGATGATTTTCAAAGACAGGGAGGGACCCCACACATGATGATGATGTTATACCATATTTAGGTATCTTTAAAGGGATCCCTGATTAGTTGTAACATTAGACTTTACTTGATAAACATGTGTTTTAACTGTAAAATAAAGACTGTAAAATACTGTTTGGTTTTGTAAAGTTTTAAAAATATATTTCAACATGGTTGGAGCCATTTTATTTACACGCATTCTGGGTAAATGACGACGTGGATAGGTCCTTGGTGTGAGCGAGTTATATCCATTTTAAACTTAGTTTAAAAATGCTAAAAACTAAACAGCCTACAGTATTTTTACAGTCTTTATGTTAAAGTTAAAATATATGTTTATCTGGGCCAAAAATCGGCAATTATTTTGCCATGTGAACCTGGAATTATTCAAATCAATTCAATCAAATGCTCTTAGTAAAATAAAAGGTTAAAAAAAAGAAAAAGACACTTTTTTTCTGTTCAATAAACCTTTTTAATCTCAACAGCAAGTTAGCTTATGTGTGGTCAACATCAATGAATATAAAACAGAATTTCTTAAGATTGATTTTTTTTGTGTGTTTTTATCAGCAGGAGGTGAAATTATGGTACTTAGAAACACATCCACTAGAATCTTCATGACTTTAGTCTTCATCTAGAGAAATATTGCTATAATACTTTTATATGGCATACACTGATTGACCAACATGAAGGGAAAAAAAAGCTAACATAGAAGCTCTAAAACTCCACACGGTGGGGTCGTACGGGGAAACTTCTGAAGGACTTTGGTACCTTTAGTAAAACCTGGCTCTACGTACATTTAAAAATAAAAATAAAAGAACAGAAATGAAGTAATCAAAATAAATGGTTCCAACCAGAAATAATTGTTTTTATTTCAAAGTCTTCTTTTAGACTGAAAAGACGAAAAGTAAAAAGGCACACCGAACACTTTTCAGAACCCCTTCTCAGTGAGGATTACCTAAACTCGTACTCCAAACCAGGAACACTCATCCGAAGAAACTGAAGTGTCCAAAAAAAAAAAAAAAAAAAAAAAAAAAAATCAACAATCAGATAAAGTGTCACTACGTCTGGTCTTTCTTTGAAAGAAATTGTTTTTGTGTCCATTATTGTTTGACAGGGGGGTGAAAACAGAGAAGAGGAGAAAAGGTGTTTCCTACAGATTGTGGTTGGTTCCGTCAACACAAACCTTTCCCACCTTTCTCCGCAACCACCTCCTCCTCTCTCGCTACAATCTCTTCTTCCCCCTTTTTAAAAAAAAAAAAAAAAAAAAGTGCTCTAGTATTCAACTTCCACAAGTCATCCTGTAGATTTCCTAGTCTGACCGCTGACTAAAGTAAAAGAAAATAAAAAAAAAAGAAACACTTTAATGCTCTTTGCGTCATCAGTGCTGATGATTTAATGCTTTAAAAACCTCAGAATAAAGATTTCATCTTCAGCACCGGCCTTCCTCACTAATGGGTCTTTTCAGTATGACCCACAAACCCGAGTAAATCTGTTCCCGTCAATGAAAAAAAAAGAGGGTGAAACCATTTAAACCTACACATACAGCTGTCTGTAAGATGAAGAGTGGGACTACCATGAGACAGGTCTGCTGGAGCACACTGAGCAGATTTTGGTTCTTACAAATGTTAAAACCCTACAAATTCCTCCAATGACACTGTTTATGTGTAATCACCTCAGGAGTCTCATCAGTCAAGTTTACAAATCTTTAAGTGTTTGAGGTCTTAATGCTCATCATACCATTATTTCAATTCTTTGTTTGCATAATCTGCAGGTAGAGTTAAAACAATTTAAATGCTGTAAAAAAAAAAACAACCTCTGGTCCAGTGTCAAGAGATTCGTGTTCTGCCGATCTTTGTGTCACAGCAGCAACATCAGAGGAAATCTAGTGATGGGGAATCTTTGCCGGGTTCTTTAGAAAATAAGTAAACCACCACAGAGGCGTGACTGGAGCAGTGCTGTTGTAAAATCAGGATTTAGCTTGAAAAACTAAACCGTACCGTTCATGACGAGTCTGTGCAAAGGGATGTAGAAATTTGGATTTGTGCAAACATAATTACACACGACTCTGTGCAGATGTTTGGCAACATTTAGATGATTGGTTTCTGTGCGGTCATAAAACAGTGTCCTGCAAC